GTACAGTGGACCCTCGAATTTTGTAATTAATCTGTTCCAGAGAGTGTGACGAAAGTTGAAATTTACGAATGGCGAAACCATTTTCCCCATAAGAAATAATGCAAATCCAATTAATCTGCTCCAGACACCCAACAGTATTAACAAAAAAAAATTTTTTTTACATTCATTCTAGATTTACATACAGAAAAGAATGTGCACGGACGCTGGGAGGCCACTCATATGTGTTACAAATGAGTGACGAATGGTGAGGCAAATTACGAACCACTAGGCTATATTTTGATGAAAAAAGTTGTGAAATTTACGAAGCACGAGGCTTGTGAAACTCGAGGGTCCACTGTATTTATTTTCTACCCTTTCCTACAGTTTTTTTAACTCACTGTCTCCTACTGAGGTAGGGTAACCCAAAAAAGAAGGAACACTTTCACTCAGTTACTCAATCTGTTACTGTCTTGCCAGAGGCATGCCAACACTACATCTCAGGGGCCCCTCCAAACTGCAGCATCTCCACCCCTTCTTCAGAGTGCAGGTACTGTATTTACTACCTCCAGGACTCTAAGTTCAGCTGACTGATTTCCCTGAATCTCTTTTATTTATCCTGATATTTAAGTAGGGGCTTGGACATCCAGTAGCCTTGTGTGAGCTCATTAGATAGGAATGAGTAGAGGCAAGTGGTGTTTAGGATTTGACATACTGTTGGAGTGTGAGCAAAGTAACATTTTTTTTAAATGATTCAGGGAAACTGATTAGCCGGACTTGAGTCCTGCACTCTGAAGGAAGGATGTGAATATTGCAATTTTGAGGGCCATCTGAATTGTGATGCCAGGACCCCTCTGGCAAGACAGTGATTGAATAAGTGACAGTGAAAACAATTACTGTGTCAGGCCACCCTGCCTTGGTGGGAGACAGTCGAATTATTAAAAAAAAAAAGTTTTGTTTCTAAATATTACATACTGTTTTTTCTGTTGCGTGTAAGCTTGTTTGTTGTCATCCAGTAAATATTTGTTCAAGTTTATTTTTTCTTGTTTAGGAGAGCCAGGTCAGGGTTTGAAATAATGAATGTGTTGTCATCTAAAAATAGTACTGGTTTGAATTACTTGGTGGTGGTTGGTAGCCTACTCATACAAAGCAGCAATTGTATATAGTCCATAAAATGAGCTTTGACTTTTGCTAATAAAAGAATTCAGTTATCAGCTTACAAGCTGAAGAATGTACATCTATGAGTAAGGAATATTTAAGAGTGGTATACAGCAGAGTCAGTGGTGGTGCAAATTGAGGCTTCATGAGACTACAGTATAGAAAAACCATTGTATCATATGGATAGTTGTTTCAGAAGTGTCACTTACTAAGTGCCACATCTGTGTTACTTATTGTTTTCTGACATTATCTTGCATTTATGCTGTGCATGTATCAGCTAAAACTCACACGGTAAAATGTAAGTATTGGCTTGAATATAGAAAATGTTTTATTAGATTGTATTTTTTTTTTTACTGAAATGTTGCCAGGATCAAATTATTTATCAACTGGAAAAGTTTTGGTGGCTTGAGTTTTGGATTAAAGAGGTGTGACTGTAATTTAAAGACAAGACTGACTCTCACTTTGCTGAATTTACTATGATGTGACAGGCAGTGCTCATCAGTCTTGTGCTGAATATATTAAGAGGTTCGTGCAGCTTGTATCACATGACAGCCAGTCTCACTTTGCACAGCCTTTTAGCTACACTAATGAGTGCTGGTAATTATGATAAAATTAATATAAGCAATTCAACATCTTAGTACTGTAGTACTGTATACAAATTAAGTGTAAAATTACATCTACAAGGGAGTACCTGTATTTTATTATATGGTAAGGGCTTTGAATATGATTTCCTTATCTGGCTACTATAGTTGCATTATATACTTAATTTTTATTCAGATATAATTTAATATCAGTAATCCTTTGTGGCTGTTAATATAGTGAAACCTCTGTTATTTGCACATTTCTTTTTCTAGACAAAGGCAGATAGTTGATTTTAACTGATAGTTGAGTTCCACCATGCTTGAGACCTGTGTAGCTTAGAACGGATGACTAATCAATATAGGTAGCAAGTAAAAAAAAATTCCAAAGTTATATTATGAAATATAAGAAAAACTTGCACATTACATTGCTTACTGTTGCTGAGAATGTCTGCCTGGAGTGGTTTCACTGAGAACTATATATGGTGCTGTTATATTAGCTTAAATATGAAGTTTTCTACAGATCTGAGTGATTTGAAATAAACACACAACTCTACAAATAAACCCATAATATATAGTAGGAATATGCCTCCCCGCCTCGGTGTGATACAGCCAGTGCGTTGAAAGATGATGATGTATTATAGCTTGCAAGATATGGTACAAGTTCCACAGGGGTCAGTGTTGAGCCCTTTGTTATTCACAATACACTGTATACATAAACAACACAGATGAGGGAACAAAAAACGACATAGCAAGTTTCATGCTTGTCGTAAGAGGCGACTAAAATGCCGGGAGCAAGGGGCTAGTAATCCCTTTTCCTGTATACATTACTAAATTTAAAGAGAAGCTTGTGTTTTTCTTTTTAGGTCACCCCTGCCTCAGTGGAATATGGGTGGTTTGTTGAAAAAAAGAAATAAGCAAGTTTGTCGATGACACCAAAATTTTTTTATTTTTATTATTAGCACACTGGCCGATTCCCACCAAGCCAGGGTGGCCCGAGAAAGAAAAACTTTCACCATCATTCACTCCATCACTGTCTTGCAAGACAGTGATGACACCAAAATAGGCTGATTAATTCTGACGAGGACACTAGACCGCTTCAGGAAGATCTGAATAGATTAATGCAGTGGTTGGAGAAGTGGCAAATGCAGTTTAATGTAGACAAATGCAAAGTTTTAATCCTTGAGAAAAAGAAAATAACCATGGAAGTTTTAACCCTTTTGGGGGTCAGTCCTGTAATATGGCTTTGAATCCAGGGTCGATCCTGTCATACTACGCTAAAATTCTAGCGGCTTCCAGTCTCGCGAGAGAAAGCTGGTAGGCCTACATATGATAGAATAGGTCTGTGTGGTCAGTGTGCACAGTATAAAAAAATCCTGCAGCACACAGTGAATAATGAGAAAAAAAAACTGTGACCATGTTTTTGTTTTTTTTATGGTTGTATTCTCCTATTTTTGGTCTCATTTGATAGAATGGAAGATATACTAGCAAAATAGCTAAGAATTTGGTCAACTGGAACAAAATTTGAACTCAGATAATGTGAAAAAGAAATTTATGTTTATGTACTACAGTTAATTTTATGCATTTATGATTTAGTATTGCATCTTTACCTTTGTTTACATTTCTCTAAACTACAAATTGTACCATGTATGATCTGTAATTGTTTGTGTGCGTAAGTTTTGATAAATTTTATCTTTTTTATAATAGATTTGCGTATATTTTATGGTAGTAAATGATAAAATGGACTAGTATATACATATATTTTATGCGTTCATGACATACCTATCTTTTTTTTTAATATTTTTTATATTTCTGGGCTATGCGGTTCGTCTTGAGTTTTTTTCAAATTGTTGCAAATCCCCAAAGAATTTACAAGTACTATATGTATTTATTGAAAAAATCCGTGATAAGTGGACCTGCTCAGTTCAAACCCGTGTTGTTCAAGGGTCAACGGCATATTGTTGGTTAGGCCTCATTTTGATAGTGCTGCACAGTTCTGGCTATCGTATTACAATGAATGAACATAAATGCTCTGTAAAATGTACAGAGAAGGATGACAAAGTTGATCTCGTATATCAGAAATCTCTCCTACAAGGATAGAATGAGGGCACTGAATCTTCACACTCTAGAAAGTTGCAAAATAAGGGGGCATATGATTAAGGGCTAAAAATGGAAGTCAGGGATAAATAAAGGGGATATAAATTACATGCTAAAAATATCTAACCAAGACAAGACTCTCAGCACCTGGTTCAAGTTTAAAAAAAAATTAGATTTAGAAAGTACATAGGAAAGCATTGGTTTGGTAATGGAGGTGTGTATGAGTGGAACTAACTCCCGATTAGCTTCATTGAAGCAAAAACCTTGTGTAGCTTAAAAACAGATTAGACAAATACAAGAGTGGGTGTGGGTGAGTGAGAATTGGGCCTGCTTAGCATGGACCAGTGGGCCTGCTGCAGTGCTCTTTCTTATGTATGTGTGTGTCAGAGAAACTGGTCTGTAGTTTAAGGGCTCCTGTCTGTACTGACACTGTCCTCCAGTGTCATCAGGTTGAATTTTCTTAACTTTTCATAGGACATACCCCTTTGCTCTAGAACTAGATGCAAACTTATGCACTTTCTCTAATTTCTTGACATGCTTCGCCAGGTGAGAGTTCCATACTGGTGCTGTATACTCCAATATGGGCCTCATATGGTTTACAATCTCTTGCATGACGCTTTACTTAGATGTTGAAACATTATTCTTGGGGTTGCCAAATGCCCATATGCTGTAGCAGTTATTTGGTTGATGTGTGCCTCAGGGGATGTGCTTGTTATGATACTCACCCTAAGAGTGAGTTGAGTTTTGTAACCTCTGACCTTTTAGGCTGTACCCCATCAATGGTCTTCTTTGTTCTTCCCCAAGCTTCATAACTTTGTACTTGCTCGAGTTAAACTCCAGGAGCCATTTGTCAGACCAGGCTTGCAGCCTGTCCAGATTTCCTTGAAGGCTTACCTGATTCTCATCCACTTGTATTCTCCTCATTAGTTTCACATCGTCTGCAAACAGGGACATCTCTGACCCTATCCCTTCCATCATGTCGTGTGTGTGTGTATGTGCATGTGCGTGCACTAGTGTGTGCATGCGTGTGTGCGTATGTATGTATGTATGTATGTACATTCTTAATTGTGGTTGCAGGGGTCAAGTCTCAGCTTGTTTATTGCTAGAAGAGTGTCAGTCATGAATTGCCATTATTCACTCTTAAAACTAACTTATAATTCATGGTTATTAAAAGGATTTGATTTATTATAGGTATGAAATGTACCTCGAGAGATTGCTTGATCGTATTCCTGAGGGTAAAGGCATCACATTTAATGAGTTCAAGTCCTTCTGTCAATTCCTTAACACCTTGGATGATTTTGCTATTGCAATGCGAATGTATACTTTAGCTGACCAGCCCATTTCTCAAGGTAAGTTAATAAAGCCATTTTATATATTTTATGAACATTTAGCTGCAGAAATGTTTGGAGCAACACACAACAAATAAGTGGTGCAGAAAAGAAGTACTGTCATCTCCGAAAATTTGCAGGGGTTACATCCCACAGCTGCCATGAATCTTAAGATTATTCAGTAATATAATTTGAGTCCATGCTGGTAATAAATTTTGTTCCAGATTTTTTTTTTTTTTTTTAGTTTCAAAGAGCATACCTCTCTTTCACTGTAATGTGGTTAATATTGACATTCATAATGTCCTGAAGGAAGAGACATTGGAAAGACACTGAGAGCATTTTGAATGAAATTCTATGCTTAGTTATCAGTTTAGTGGTGGTGGAGTTGGATAAAATAGTTAATGTGAGAAAACCTGTAAATAATTTTATCTGTTCATAGGCCACTTATCAGTAAAAATATTGGATAATTGAATCCTGCAAATAAGGAACCCCGAGGATTTTGGGGGATGAGTATACACATGTAACATATGGTACGGCTGTTCGAGGAAAAATTATAGCAATGTGATGTAATGAAAATCCTGTAAAGTTACCAAAATGAGATCGAATAAAATGTACCATATCTTCATGTATGCTAACTTGTAAATTAGATACTGTATGTAGAGTAAATAAATGAAAGAAATAATTATTGCACCAATACTTATTTGTATTTACATATTTAAGTTTAAAGAAGAGATTATTGTTTAACTTGTTCTACATTTCTATTGCTGAATATATCTCGCCTGATTTTCTGGCTTAATTGTATGTGTTTACAGTAGTTTTAATTCTTCTCCCCTTGTTCTAGATCATTCTCTGGTAGTAGGTCTGTTCTTGTCTCCCTTTCTGGGGCCCCCCAATAATTCATGTCATTCCCACATTCCTCCTTGTTCTTAAATTTTCGAGGGTTAAGAGATTAGTTTATGCAGTCTCTCCTCATAACTGTCCTGTCAGCTCACTCATTTGTTTTCTGCATGCTTAAATTTTTCTAATTTTTCTTTTATGTTTAGCTAAAAGGGGTTCCCCACTGGTGCTGTGTATACTGTCCTACCATATGCCTCTGGTAGTACTTTTGTTTATGCACATTTTAGAACAGGATTTTTTCTGAGGCTCTGTTGGTAAAGTTTTTTTGTGATAAAAAATTTTCTTTTCCCTTTTGGTTAAATGGAAGTAAAACTACCCCCAGGTTGGTGGGTGACCACTGGTAGTTGGTGGTTAGAGGAACTTTTGATTGAATACACATCTGTGGGATTGCTTATTAATGGTTATAGGAGCAGAGCTATTCTTGTGGAACCTTGGCTTTGGTCTTTAATCTCCTAATTCTTAATAAAATCAGTGACTGTAGTAATTACTGCTACCCCTTTCATCTTATATGTGTGAGTGCAAGGATTTTATTCATAATTGTGTGCCAGGTAAGTCTGTGCAGGAGTTTAGGGCAGGTGATCCATTCACTTCTGTAAGTCTGATAATCCATGCATTGGGTAAGTGGGGGTGACTATGCACTTGTGTAAGTGTGGTGATCTGTACATTTGTGTAAGGCTGGTGTTCCTTGCCTATAAGAAACAGTATATACATAATAAACAGATGGAATAAATTATTTAATCTGATTATTTACCTTTACCACTTGGTATTTGTCATAGTTTTCATAAATCTAAATTTAACATTACAGAGGAATTCCATCGTGCAGTTAAAATCTGCACGGGAGCAGAGCTAAGTCCACATATTGTTGACACGGTTTTCAAGATTTTTATGATGCGGGGGATGGGCAGGGAGTTAAAAGGTTCATTGCTATAATGCGAGACCGTCTCCATCGTGGCTTTAAGGTATGGCCCATAAAATTTTCACCTCAGATTAGTAAAATGTTCCTTTGTATTGGTTGGCATGATATTGCTTTTGTAATAACAGTGAAAGTGACACTGCTACCTCAGTTTTTTCTCCATAAATGTAATACAGGTACTCCTCACTTAACGACCGAGTTCTGTTCCTAAGAGTAGGGCGTAAAGGGAAATTTGGGTTTTTAAGCGAGGAGCTGCTCCTTCTGATATTTCAAGCATACTGTATGGGAGTGGTTTTTCAACCATCTTTGATATTGTTTTAAATTTTACCCTTTGCACCTTTATAAAATTTTTAGTATATTAAAATAGAACTAGACATTAACCTGTAAACGGTCCAGGCAGATCTACATTTACATGTGTAGTGCTACAAAATTAGATCTACGTTTTTTTACATATTTTCAAATATAACAAAAAAAAAGTAGATCAAAGTTTTTTTTACACATTTTCAAATGTAAAAAACAAAAAGAAGATCCAAACGTATATATACGTTTGGACCGTTTACGGGTTAAAAAACAATAAAAAAGTAAAATACTCATACAGTACACTGGTAAGAGAGCTGGTCGTAAGTCTGAGCGGTCGTCAAACAGGTAGGTTGTTAAGTAAGGAGTACCTGTACTCTCATTTTTTTTTAATTACTGCACTGCATTACTGTATTATAGATCTGCTCAGGCTTCTAAATGCCCACACCACTCACCCTCACACCCACACCACACCCCTCATACTTACACCACACCCCTCATACTTACACCACACCCCTCATACTTACACCACACCCCTTGCACCCGCACCACACCCCTCATATCCACACTACCAACCCCTCACACCCACCACCACACCTTTCACTCCCACACCCCTCACCCTCACACTCCACACCACACCCCTCACACACCATACCACCCTTCATGCCCATACCTACCCCTTCACACCCACACCACCCTTCACACCACACACACCCCCCTTCACACCCACACCACCTCCCATCTCCCACACCCACACCATACCCACCCTCACACCACCCTACCACACCCCACACCCACACCATACCTCACCCACACACACCCTCACCACCATTCCCACACACACCCACACACCACACCCCACACTCACCATTCCCTCACACCCACACACCACACCCTCACACCATTCCCTCACACCCACACCACACCCTCACACCATTCCCTCACACCCACACCACACCCTCACACCACTCCCTACACCCACCCACACCCACACCCTCACACCCACACCACACACCCTCACACCATTCCCCACACCCACCCTCACACCCTCACACCCACACCACACCCTCACACCATTCCCTCACACCCACACCACCCTCACACCCATCCCTCACACCCACACCCACCCTCACACCATCCCTCACACCACACCTCAACACCCTACACCACCCTCACACCCACATCCCTCACACCCACACCCTACACCATACCCTCACACCTACACCCCACACCAACCCCACACACACCTCCTCTACTACCCCTCACACTACACCCTTCACCAACCTCTCACACCTACACCTCACACCCACACCCTTCACACCCACACACTCACACTCATCACCCTCACAGACCTACCTACACCCACACTTACATCTATCCCATTCACCCACTCACTTAACCCACACACTCACACCCACCTCAACCCATCCTCACACCACCCTCACACCCATACCCTCACAACATCCCACACCCTCACACCCACACCCTCACACCCACACCCTCACACCCATACCACTCCCTCACACCCACACCAATACACATGCTTTAAGAGTAATTATTTCTCTGGTACATAAGTTGTAGGAACTTTCATTTTTTTAAATCAGTAGGCACTCAAAAGTATTTTTTTATTTGTGTCACACTAATTAATTGTTTTTAATATTGCATGAGACTTAGTTGAAATACTGAAGCTGTGTTCATCTGTGATAGTTTCTTCTGCTTGAGGTGTTTTGTTACATTTATTTTCTTAACACAAATGTTGCTAATAAGCTAGAAATACTGAGACTCATTTGTACTTGGTGAATGTGCATGGCAAAGATTATTGCCTCTGGCTTTCACTGAAGCATTTTTTAACCCTTAAACTTTCCAAACATAGATCTACGTTTGCATGTGTAGCGCTCCAAACATAGATCAACGTTTTATTTTTCATTTCTTCAGATTTGGCACAATAGGCTTGAGTTGCCTAGACATGAAAGAATGGGTCTGTGCACTCAGTGTACGCACTGTTAAAAAAATCTGGGAGCACCTAGTACCTTGTGGGAGCACCAGTTCAATTGAGCACCAGCTAGAGCAAATAGCTTGGCAAACACCAGGGATTCACTGATGTCATGTCGCATTAACACTCCCATTTTAAGAGGAAAGTAAAAATAGGTTAGATAAATACATGAGTGAGTGTGGGTGCATGTGAGATGAACCTGACTAGCTTGTGCTGCTAGGTCTGATGTCATGCTCCTTCCTTCAATGGATGTGACCTGACTAGGTGGGTCATTGGTCTAAGCCAGGGGGAAGAGGGTGACATGTACCTCCCTTGCATGGGCCAGTAGGCCTGCTGCAGTGTTCCTTCTTTCTTATGTATTTAGCAGGCTGGCCAGCTGGCTTGCTTTGGCTGTCTCTCTGTCTATAGTGTGCACCCCCGGCTTACGATATTATTTCATTCCAGAAGTATGTTCAGGTGCCATTACTGAACAAATTTGTTCCCATAAGGATTATTGTGAATTAGATTAGTCCATTTCAGACCCCCAAACATACACGTACAAACGCACTTACGTAAATACACTTACATAATTGGTCGCATTGGGAGCTGATCGTAAAGCGGGGATCCACTGTATATCTATCTGTCTATATATCTGTCTATCTATATGTCTGTCTGTCTATATCTCTATCTATATCTCTGTCTCACATGTACACATAAGTACAGTTATTATACATGGTGTAAATTACCTAGGATAATCCAAAAATTCCAGGCAAAGATAGACAGACAGATAGGTAGATAGACAGAAACATGTTTGTGTGTATCAGTGAAAACAAATAAAGCCAGGGTTTCCTCAAGCACTCATTTATCAGATGTCACCGAGCTGATAACAAATGTCATAACATGCTTCTTCAAGGAGTTTGATATCCTATACTCCAGGCAGACAGAAAGACAGATAAGCAGAGACAGACAGACAGACAAGCAGAGACAGACAGACAGGCAGGCAGATAGACAGACAGACAGAGAGACAAGACATGTTTGTGTGTAACAGTGATAACAAATACAGCGAGGGTTAGCTGGAGGAGTGGGCATTTATCAAATGTCACTGGGCTGTCAACAGTATAGGGATGCCTTTCATAACAACATGCTTCAAGGTATATGCCAGGGTATCTAATACATTGCTGGGACCTATAAATACTTTGTATATATTTCTAAACAATAGTAAATAACTCAAGCAGGTGTAAATGTTCACCTGTCAATGTGATTGTGTCTATTTGAGCACTATTTCTGTACCTAATATTAGTGTCAGAACAAAGATTGGCTATGAAATTACAAGAACTATTATAAATTGTAATTATCAGAACATAAAAATATATAAATTAAAATAAAAATGAGAAAAAAAGGTATATCGGCAACGCTTCTGCAAGCAGCAGGAGTCGAAGTTGATGACAGGTGAGCATCCAGAGCCAACTTCACGGTCTTATATCTCGGTAAGTACTGACCCTAAATTTTTTTTTTATTTCTATAACATGTAGAAAAATGTGCTCTTCATTTTAAAAGAAAAAAATTTTATTTTTCAAAATATTCAGAGCACCACACGAGTGAACGTAGATCTACATTTGGACAGTTTAAGGGTTAAAACTATTTGGTATCTGTATACGGTGTTTTTTTTTTTTTTTAACCCTTTGACTGTCGCGGCCGTATATATACGTTTGCGAGGTACCGTGTTTGACGTATATATACTCATAAATTCTAGCGGCTTCAAATCAGGCAGGAGAAAGCTAGTAGGCCCACATGTGAGAGAATGGGTCTGTGTGGTCAGTGTGCACCACATAAAAAAAATCCTGGAGCACTCAGTGCATAATGAGAAAAAAAAAACTCCGACGGTTTTTTTTAATTAAAATGCCGGACTTTGTGGTTATTTTCGTATAGTATTTGTGGTTGTATTCTCGTTTTTTGGTTCATTTGATAGATGGAAAACTATATTATAGAAATGGAGGTGATTTGATTAATTTTACTATAAAAGAACTGGAAATGGAGCACAAGTACAGGAAATGTTTGATTTTTGCGATGTTCAAAAGTGAACAAATGATGTCATGTCCAATTAATGTCCAAATAGCCATTTAATACGCAGTCATGAATGGGTTGATGTAATTTTTACAATTATTACAGTATTGCAGTAGTCTGCATAACAGTAAATCTTCTATTTTTTTGTTTGAATTAAATTTCAAAATAAAAGCAAGAGTAATATCACAGGGACTGGGACATGACTGATGAACAAAGAAAATGTTATTTTTAGAGCCATGGAATGTCTGCATTGTTCATTTGGTACTTATTTTTGAAATTTCGTATTTTTTAATTTTCGTGAAATTGGCCAATTGCAAATTTCTGACCATGTTATTGGGTAGTTGAAATCGGTAAATGGGCAGTTTCTTGTACTCAATCGATAGAAAAAAAATAGAGTTCTGAAGAAATAGTTATGAGTTTGGTTGACTGGAATAACGGAATTAGCCAAAAATAGGGCTCAAAGTGGGCGAAATTGCCGATTTTTAAATATTGCCGAAGTCGCTAACTTCGCTAGAGCGTAATTCCGTCAGTTTTCCATCAAATTTCGTTTTTTTGGTGTCTTTACAATCGGGAAAAGATTCTCTATCATTTCATAAGAAAAAATAATTTTTTTTTTTTTCGAATATTTTGCGACACCAGAAGCAACTTCAGGATTTGGCCCTTCGACAGTCAAAGGGTTAAGAGTGAATGTCAGTGTTACATGCACATTATATCGATTTAATTATAGATAACTTTTAACGTAAACAAAATTTATGTGTAATCAAATACACTAGAGTACTGTATATTAGAAAAAATAAATACAGTAATGTGAAAAGGTCATACAATTGTCCCTAAAATTTATAGGCTTCCTTTTTTCAAAGATTATAGTTATTCAGTATTTTTGCTTCTGTGTGACCCATGGATATCGTGTTATTCAACAGTTTTCTGACTCATTGGCTTTCCCATTCCCAAATCTCCTATTTTTGACATTATTTCTTTTGATTGTCAATATTAATCAGATTAGTGTGATATATTAAAATGATAGGGCCTAAGAAACACAAAAGAATCCAAATCTGAAAGCAATTTGTTACGCAGACTTAATTCTTTTATTATTTACAGTCTTGAGTTTCAATGGACCTATAGGAATATAATATGTGAATGTGTTGGGACAACTGTATTATATTTTCAGGTGTCATTAACTGTAGACAGTGCACTTCGTCAGCACCTTGTTATTTATTTTCTTTTCTTAATCTATGTACATTAAACCCCTTCTAATTTTTGAGAAACCATGTTCACCATGCAAATGAGGAACAGAAACCAATTCATTATGTATAGTAGTAATATCCTGGAATATTAAGATGTTTGCTTAATTAATATTTACTAATCAAAAGACAATTGATGGGTTGTTTTGTTCCTTTTTTTTTTTTTACCTGAGTGCAGTATTAATATTTGAAGTATGAAATGTCTTAACATTGTGGCTTCCATGATTATCCCTCAGCACACATCCCGCAGCGAGGGTTGGGATGCGTTCAAACAGTGTGTCAAGAGTGAAATGAAGGCTGTGGTCTGAAGAGGAATTTATCAAAAATTGAGGTGGTTTTTCTTTTCATAAACAAAATATAGTAATAATTGCATAGTAAAACCTCCTTATTTTTCTTAATGTATTGTTTTTTTCATGTCATTTATTGTTATGATTCTATTATCTTTTTCTCTTTTGCCTTCATTACTTTTCTGTTCTTTCCTGGCATATGCCATTGAATACTTGCATAACTTCGTTACCTTCTTTCTGTCTTTAATAATGACTATTGTTTATAATGACATCAAGTACTGTTATCTATTGCCATTTTGTATTAATGATAAAGATCTCTGCGGATTTTGAATCATGGCTTAATCCTAGTGAACGTATTGTACATTTGATAGCATATCCTTTTTTTATATTAATCTTACAATAATTATTTAGAAATTTTGTGAATGTTTCATATTTTTATTATTATTGTGTTCATGAAATTTCTAGATAAATTATTTCTTTCAGCAACAGCAACCAAGAGAAGGTTGGGAGGGTTTTAAGGCATGTGTGAAAGATGCCATGAATACTGATCAACCTCAGCAGCCAAGTCTCACATAAGAGAATTAAAATTATCATGAACTGTTTTGAAATGTATTAAGCATCTGAAACTTGGTGTAGTAGAGTTGTCAGCCAGACATGCCTCACCTAGTTTTACTTTAGAATCTCAGTATCTGTACAGAACAATTGTTATTGGCTGAAATTTATTGCTCGTGAGTTCTAATTATGTATCCCCTACCATGCAAGAATCTTATGACTTTTTTTTTTTTTTTTCTCCCACTACTTCAGCTTTCATTAAATAAGTTTAGAATGTCTTTTCTCTTTAATTTAAAATTTCCTGTACTTGATTATTTTCCTAAGGTGTAGGGTTGTATTGTAATTTGGTAGTGTAGCATCTTGGTGGACAATTTCATAGCTAATTATCTGTTCAGGGTTGAAGGAGGGCTGTCCAGTTAACCTGGCAGTTAACAAGAAAGTCTGGCTCCAGGCCAGACTGGTGGTATGAATCCTTGAAGCTGGTTACAGGAAGGGCAATGCAGCATTATCATATAAGCAGACCTTTACCAATCTTGTTGCACATATTTTCCCTTGATCCCAGTATATATATCTCCAGTAGTTTTAGTTGAAATTCAGGGCTCAGAAAACCTCTTACCAGAGACAATTTTGTTTTAATTAATTGTAATTTCCAGGTGAGTGTTAATTTTTATGAATACTGTAAATCTCAAAAACTTTATTAAAAAATCTAATATTATTGACATGGCATTTTTTATAATATTGTCTTACACTGTATCAATATCTAACTGACCAATCTGTGAGATCTTTTTTATCCTCTTGAACTCTTTATTTTTATATTTTTGTTCTTATATTTTTTTATACTGGATATGCATTCACAGATTAGGCAGTTAGCTGAAAATTTTCCTAAATCAGTGGCAAGATAATTTTTAATAAATTTGGTAATATACTATTTTTTAATGTGGGGCTTACATCCCTGAAAAATTGGCACCTTATAACATGTAGCTTCATATGAAGGGAAGAACAAATGGGTAAAATAGGCTTACATTTCAGACACCTCCAGATTTGTCAATTAAATTGGTTTTGCTGTTCTGCTAGGGGTCATTATCAGTGCATGTGAAAAGTTTAGGGAAGCTTAATGTGGGTTTACTGGACCAAGTTGAATTTAGTGAGGTTAATCAGTTGATATACACTATACATGTCAGCAAGATAAAAATAAGTCACATTTTCTTATAAGATGTACCATATAAGAACTTGCCAAAGTTATACCAAAATATCATATACCAAAGATAAATGCAGTTGAAGAACCTCAAAACAAACAAAAATGTTAATGCAAAAATATAGGAGGCAGCATTAGCTGGGCCTATCAACATGTCAACAACACACAAAAACACATTTCCTTACCAAACTGTAAGAAACATATTAACACTCATCACACTTATAACAGACAAACATTTATTGAACTAAAACTGAAACTGAATGCCTTTGAATAATAACCAAGAAAAAACAAAACATTTATTGTTGTGGGAGACTGTGTCTGGGAAATGTGGGGGAGCTGCTGACTCTGGCTTTGTCTGCCAGTAATCAAATCAAATCAAATCAAGTTTATTCTCTATAAGGGTTATAATGTGGGGTTTACAGGATTTGGATATTGTGTGGTTTACATGTTATAAAATACTAATTACAGAGGGAGCCACTAGGCCACCTAGCAAGGCATTTCGGGCAGACTTAGATTAATTCTTAACATTAAATCCTTACAGATTAAGGTATTAAGGCTAAGTGACTACATCATAATTTGTGAGTTTAGCAATGTGAATGCTTTTGTTTTGGCACAATACAACGTGTCTATATTGGAGTATCATAGGCAAACTTATGACTAGTTAGGATTTTTTATTTTAAGATTAAGATTAGTATTTCTGTGTTTATAGTCAGTGGACGAGTGAGTGTAATTGTGAACCACCAGGTAGTTATCATGTAGTTAGTTGTCGGGGTGGATCAGGGAGATAAGATGTTTTCTAACAGTAGTTTTGAAAGTGATGAGTGTGTCTGCAGTTCTAGAGTTTTCAGGTAGGGTGTTCCAGATTTTAGGTCCTTTGAAATACATTGAATTTTTGTAAAGGTTTAGTCGGACACGGGGAATGTCATAGAGATGTTTGTGTCTGGTGTTATGCCTGTGGATCCTGTCACAACTATCAAGAAAGCGTTTTAGGTCAAGGTTAATATTGGAATTTAAGGTCCTGTAGATATAGATTGCACAGTAGTAAGTGTGGATGTTCTGAACAGGGAGTAAGTTTAGATCTATGAAGAGTGGGGGGGGGGGTGTTGCCAGGGATGGGATTTAGTGATTATTCTTACTGCGGCTTTTTGTTGGGTTATTATTGGCTTTAGGTATGTTGCTGCAGTTGAACCCCAAGCACAGATAGCATAGGTGAGGTATGGATATGTAAGTGAATGGTATAGTGTGAGAAGGGCAGTTTGCAGCACGTAGTATTGTATCTTGGTGAGACTGCATATTTCTATAACTCTTCAGTACATATCTGAATTGTATGCATAATTTTTGTTTTGTATGGTCAATACATCAGTAGTGAATAATGTTTTGTTTAGTGAAAGAGAAAATAACACCACACTCATGGGCCAAACTCAAGTCAGAGTTAGAAGGGAAATCGTACGCCTCACCTCCGTACTCAAAATATTACAAGAGCAGATACTGGCATGACACTTGTCCCATACAGCTTCATATTCATCTTGTTTGAATACTTGTTCACCCTTTATTATCAGTCACCATATTGAACAAATAGAAATATAGATCGAATAGATATATCAGTGTTAACCCTTTGACTGTCGCGGCCGTATATATACGTTTGCGAGGTACCGTGTTTGACGTATATATACTCATAAATTCTAGCGGCTTCAAATCAGGCAGGAGAAAGCTAGTAGGCCCACATGTGAGAGAATGGGTCTGTGTGGTCAGTGTGCACCACATAAAAAAAATCCTGGAGCACGCAGTGCATAATGAGAAAAAAAAAACTCCGACCGTTTTTTTTAATTAAAATGCCGACTTTGTGGTCTATTTTCGTATAGTATTTGTGGTTGTATTCTCGTTTTCTTGGTCTCATTTGATAGAATGGAAACTATATTATAGAAATGGAGGTGATTTTGATTAATTTTACTATAAAAAGAACCTGGAAATGGAGCACAAAGTACAGGAAATGTTTGATTTTTGCCGATGTTCAAAAGTGAACAAATGATGTCATTGTCCAATAAATGTCCAAATAGCCATTCTAATACGCAGTCATGAATGGGTTGATGTAATTTTTACAATTATTACAGTATTGCAGTAGTCTGCATAACAGTAAATCTTCTATTTTTTGTTTGAATAAAATTTCAAAATAAAAAGCAAGAGTAATATCACAGGGACCTGGAGACATGACTGATGAACAAAGAAAATGTTATTTTAGAGCCAGGAATGTCTGCATTGTTCATTCTGGACTTTATTTTGAAATTGTCATATTTTTTAATTTTCGTGAAATTGGCCAAATTGCAAATTTCTGACCATGTTATTGGGTAGTTGAAATCGGTAAATGGGCAGTTTCTTGTACTCAATCGATAGAAAAAATAGAGTTCTGAAGAAATAGTTATGAGTTTGGTTGACTGGAATAAAGGAATTAGCCGAAAATAGGGCTCAAAGTGGGCGAAATTGCCGATTTTTAACCCTTTGACTGTCAAAGGGCCCAATCCTGAAGTTGCTCCTGGTGTCGCAAAATATTCGAAAAAAAAAAAAATTATTTTTTCTTATGAAATGATAGAGAATCTTTTCCCGATTGTAAAGACACCAAAAAAACGAAATTTGATGGAAAACTGACGGAATTACGCTCTCGCGAAGTTAGCGACTTCGGCGATATTTAAAAATCGGCAATTTCGCCCACTTTGAGCCCTATTTTCGGCTAATTCCGTTATTCCAGTCAACCAAACTCATAACTATTTCTTCAGAACTCTATTTTTTCTATCGATTGAGCACAAGAAACTGCCCATTTACCGATTTCAACTACCCAATAACATGGTCAGAAATTTGCAATTTGGCCAATTTCACGAAAATTAAAAAATACGACAATTTCAAAAATAAGGTCCAGAATGAACAATGCAGACATTCCTGGCTCTAAAATAAGATTTTCTTTGTTCATCAGTCATGTCTCCAGGTCCCTGTGATATTACTCTTGCTTTTTATTTTGAAATTTTATTCAAACAAAAAATAGAAGATTTACTGTTATGCAGACTACTGCAATACTGTAATAATTGTAAAAATTACATCAACCCATTCATGACTGCGTATTAGAATGGCTATTTGGACATTTATTGGACAATGACATCATTTGTTTACTTTTGAACATCGGCAAAAATCAAACATTTCCTGTACTTTGTGCTCCATTTCCAGGTTCTTTTTATAGTAAAATTAATCAAAATTACCTCCATTTCTATAATATAGTCTCCATTCTATCAAATGAGACCATGAAAACGA